CTCTCTCTCTCTCACTGTCTATAACCCTACCTCTCAAATAAATTAAAAAAAAAAAAAAAAAAGAACATAGAGAGTTCACAAGTTCAATAAAAGATATGAGTTTGCAAAATGATTTGCTTCTCACAGAGCAGGTACAGAATGCCAGGGCTGAGTACTCAGGAGTTTACCCTGTAGTGGCTAATATAATGGACTTAATTAAAGGCCTTAATTAAATGATTAAAGATCTGGGCACTGAGATACTAGCAGCAGTAAACATCAAGAAACTCTGGTGGTCAACAGAATGGCTCCCTCATACCTGATTCAGCATGACATCATAGACCTCATTTCCTTCACTATACACGTGAGCCTGGAGAGGAAAAAGACGAGATCAGTATGGTCTCAGCCCTGACATTCAAAGTGAGGCGCTATGTTTTTCTTGTGCCTCCAGGTGTCACTTTCCATGGAACCTACCTGCCAGGGAAAGAAAGGCAAATATATGAGGGTACTTCAAAAAGTTAGTGGAAAATGGAATTCAAAATTAAGTTTATTTTGAAAGCTATGGGTATATGAAGGGTCTTTAAAAAGTTCATGAAAAGTGCATATTATGAAAAAATTATGAATGGATTTCAAAGTCTTTTTTTTATCAAAATAAACTTCTTTCCACATTCATCAGTAACTCATGCCATTACAGGGCAGTTTCTCATTTGAACACGAAGATGGTTCTCTCTTAATAATGACACCATTTTCTGGTAGAAGACGATGAGGTATGAAAGGCTAATGGCTACTCCAAAAGGCAACCGTGTTGAAACCCTCATGTTATTAATCCCAAACCCTACCACTTCTATCTTTCAGCCTTGGAGAAAGTTATCACTAGTGAAATCTGGGATTCCTAAAACGAATACATCCCAGGCAGGAATTCTAACAAAGGAACACTGCTTTCTAAGAGTTCCATTGACTGGGGATTGGTTCCAGTTACCTTTCCCACTTTGGCTGTGCACTCCGGGTCCACAGGAGCTTTGCCCTTTATCAGCAAGGCCTTCACAGATTCTGAGGAAAGACATGGATGTGTATGGGAATCAAAAGTAGCTGTCACTGTTGGGCAGAAATCTATCAGAATTAACTTTGCCCTTCCCAGACACTTCTAGTGTTCTGCCTAGGTTCCAATCCATTTCAAATACATGAAAATGAAGACTCAAGACGCAGATTTTTACTTTTTATTTGCTGAATTCTTTATTTAGTAGAGCATTCAGCCTTTGACTACACTGTAAATTAAAGATGTTATCTCAAAAAATTAAGCTAAAAAATAGATAACAGCCGGCACTGCGGCTCACTAGGCTAATCCTCCGCCTGTGGTGCTGGCACACAGGGTTCTAGTCCCGGTCGGGGTGCCAGGATTCTGTCCCAGTTGCCCCTCTTCCAGGCCAGCTCTCTGCTGCTGTGGCCAGGGAGTGCAGTGGAGGATGGCCCAAGTGCTTGGGCCCTGCACCTGCATGGGAGACCAGGAGAAGCACCCGCTCCTGGCTTTGAATCAGCGCGGTGCAACGGCCGCAGCGCGCCGGCTGTGGCGGCCATTGGAGGGTGAACCAAAGGCAAAGGAAGACCTTTCTCTCTGTTGCTCTCTCTCTGTGCACTCTGCCTGTCTCAAAAAAAAAAAAAAAAAAAAAAGAGTCCTGAGGCCGGCCAGTGGGGCTGGGGTCTGTGGGCCCCTCAGCCGTAGGTGGAATGTCCTTTACAAGCAGGCTGTCAGCTGTGGCTGGAAAGCCTGTCTCCAGACCAACTGGCATCTCCCCCACTAACAGCTTCTTGTGGGGCATGTGTGACCTTGCGGCTTTGAATCACACCTTCAGGGTGGGGGCAATCTTTCACCCAGAGCTGGCAGAGGAGGAGGCTGAGCCCCTAAGGAGATGACGGACAGTCTCCAGGAGACCCCCACTAAACCAATCAACATACGTCTGTGAAACCCCGTCCAATGGGCACCCCACAGAATGACCCAATGAACAGACAGCAATGCCTTAAAAACCCGGGACACTTCCTTAAAGCCAGTGTCCCGCTCGGGCACTCCGCCTGCTCCCCTCTTGGACCAAACACCCTCTGCTGCTTGCCAATCAAATAAAAGCTTCTTTCTGTCTAATAAAAATTTCTGCTTCTTTACAAATTGTTTCCTGGCTTTTTATTTCTATACTAAGCTAAGGAAAGTGCTATAGTATGTGCTGAGGCTAGGGAAATTAATTATATTCTCAAGAAAGGAAGAAATAATAGTTAAAGAACAAATTATCGCACAACCACTCCCACTTCCCCCAGAGAAATTCTAGCTAGCCCTTGTCTGCCTTACCACCTTGCTTGTCTTCTGTCCCCTCCTTATCAGCCTTTTTTCCAGCCGAAGGTTCCTTTTTCATCTCTAGTTTCTGGCATCTTCGAGTTTTCTTGACAGGGGGAGAGTCTTCGGTGACTGAATTGGTTTCATTTACTGCTACAGAAGCTAAGAACAAGAGTGAACAAATAAAGATCCTGTGTGAAAAAAAAAAACTTTTAAAGAAATGATTTGAAGATGGCTTTGTCAGTTTACAAAGTTTGTAAGAAACAGACACAACTGCTACAGCAAAGCTCTTGATAACAGGCTGAGTAGTCTTTCATAAACTGCTATTTCAGCCTAACAAAAGGAAGCCCCAAGGCACCTGTAAGTCCACAGCCTAAGGCATGAGTCTCAGTCTACTCACGCTTTGCTCCAGCCTCAGCACCCACAAATACCTACCCAAACTACCTGAGGCAACAGCAGACTGCTCTAGGCACTCTGCCTAGCTAGGATCCCAGTTCTGCTTCTTCTAGCTGGAAACCTTAGAGAAGTTACGTGATCTATTTTGACCTCCATTAGCCCAACCATAAAATCCATAAGATGACAACAGGGTAGACTTATGCATTTAAGCTCTTGACACAGAGGTGAGTTAAACTCCGCTTGGGGTCTACCCATCCCATAGCCGAGTGCCTGCTTTGAGGCCTGGGAGGCAGCAGCCCACGGCCTAAGTACTTGGGATCCTGTCTCTCACTGGGTAAACCAGATGGAGTCCCTGGCTCCTGGCTTCCGCCAGGGCTACTGCAGGCATCTGGGGAGGTGGGGATGGAAGAGCTCTCTGTCTCTACTTCCATCATTCTGCCTTTCAAATAAATAGACTTTTAAAAACTCCATAATAGAGTACTATATTTCAACAGTTCTAAGACTTGCATTTGACTCTGAAATCGGGATATGTCTTATGACGAATGATATATAGTGAATCAGGATTTAATTGGAAGCGCTTATCCTTTCTTTAGTGGAACATAAAATCAAATGATGCATGCTACAACTGATTTTAAAAATTAGATTGTTAGGTATTCATTCATAGCGCTGCCACTACATCAGTTGTCACAGGTCCACAAGCCTTTCTGAACTCTAAAAATCAAGCCTTAGAAGTCCAGGAACACGTGCAGATCGAGGGGAGAGGGACCAGAGCAGGGGGCACGCTCCTCTTCGGACTTCCCGCCCGCCAGCATGCTCTCCGAACCTCGAGCGCCGCGGCTGGAAGCCGCCCGCCGCCGCCGCGCCGCCATGGAGATCTAACGTCATCAACCCGCTCCCGGGAACCGCGCCCTGGCCCGTTCCCGCGTCAGCACACAGCGCGCTTGCGCTGTGGCGAGAAGCGCGTCTGAAGCATACTTCAAGAAATTTGCATGTCGCTATGTCTTGTGGGAAGCTACCGTAAGGGAAAGATGCCTTGGGCTTTCGGAGCTTTATAAAGTCTGTTCGGATCCACCTCTCCCCATAGGGCGGAGGAAGCTCATCAGTGGGGCCACGAGCTGAGTGCGTCACGTCACTCTACCCCATGTCCCTTGGGAAGGTCTGAGACTAGGGCCAGTAGCGGCCCTAACAGGGCTCTCCCTGAGTCTCGGGGAGGTGAGTTCCCAGAGAACGGGGCTCCGCGCGAGGGCAGACTGGGCAGGAGATGCCGCGGGCCCGCCCCGGGTCCCGGCGGATGCCTCCTTAGCCGGAGCTTGGAACAGACTCACGGCCAGCGAAGTGAGTTCAATGGCTGAGGTGAGGTACCCCGCTGGTGGGGGCCTCATAACCTAATTCAGACTACTCTCCCCCGCCCTGCTTTTCCCTTTTCTGTAATTGGGATTAAATTATGGATTAAATTAAATTCAATAAGTAGTTTTCAGTTAAAATGGCTAGGTAGGCTGTGAAGTGGATTGGAAGATATTATTAAAAAGTGAGAACTGTAAATTCCTACAAATTTTCCTTCTATATGAAGAAAAATACCTCGAGTACTTTATATGTATTTGTATATGCATTCTGTGTTTTATGTTTTAAAAAATCATAATGAATATTGTGCCAGTGAGTTCTCTAGTTATGATTTAAAAAGCAATCCTAACATACGAGGAAGCTTCAAAAATTCACGGAAAATTCACATTCTCTTTAAATTCCCTTTGCCCATAAACTTCGTAAAGCTCCCTCATGTAATTTAACCAAAGGGGGTGTGAGGAGTCAAAATGCTCCATTAATCATGTCCTGATCACTAAAGGTCACTGTTTTGGATCCAGCGATGTGTAAGATACACTTTGCCCTTCAGTAGTTTATAGTCTACTTGGGGAGTGAAATCTGAAATTATGTAATGACAATAAAAATAGGTAACATGTTGAGTACTGTGTGGCAGGCATTAAACTGGGCACATTTTATAAATTATTTTACTTAATCTTCACAGCAATCATAGGAGGGCGATGCCTCTTTATAGTTGAGGAAACAGATGTTTGTCAGGAAATCACAAGGCTCAGATTCAAAATCAGCTAAATTTTACTTTAAAGGCTAAACAGTTAATTGTCCATCTTTTATGCACTGAGCCTCTTAGCCTGAAGATTGCTCTGAAGCCTAGTTCTAACTTGAATGGGTCTAGAATCTTTATAATGGAAGCCGTTATCTTACATAACTCACCATGTTCAGATTACAAAACATAGGGCGTTGTCATAAAGGGATTAAAACTCTTTGGAATAGAATGTAGTAGGCCTATCTAAGCAAGAGCTTGTACAGGTCGCTTACATTAGCCTGTGTTTGCTTGTGCTAAGTATATTAACCCAGAAAGAAACTTGGTTTTTGAAGGTCAATCTAAAAACAGTTCTGGAAGCATCATTGGTCCTCAGGGAGACAGGAGGGTAAAGGAGGCCACTGCGTCATCTCAGCACCTTTTAAGGTAAAGGAGGAGGGAAGCCTCCTGCAACTCAATAGCCAATCAGCGTCTGAGGCCACTTCTCAAGGCCCCCTTCCTGTCTCTCTACTTTCTTTCCTCCGTTGTGGTGGGCTGGTGAGTGTGCACTTAATTCTGCTCTCTAGTTGTTCCGAGTTTCTCTTCCATGTGAACCATCTCCCCAGGTTTCAGGCCTTTATTGCAAGCCGGCGTTGGAATGTGTGTAAGTAGCAAGGCTATCTCGGCCGTGTGGAGGTTGGGGGCAGGTTAGTGAAATGCTGAGCCTGGCTTGTTTCCACGTGGGCCTCTGCAGGAGTGGGTTTTCCGCTGAGACCTGGTCACTGTGCTTTAGGTACAGAGTGCATCGGCTTCGTTTTGTTTGGTGGGAAAGAGAATTGTTATTAGCCCAGTGCTGTTTTGATTTGTATCTCCCTGGGTGAGGGTGGACCTTGGAAACTGAATTCAGCCCCCTACATTTTCATTCACCTTCAAACGTCTTAAGGGCCCAGATCCTTACAGGATCTGTGGAAACTGCGGTGGACATCGTCTTTGCCCTGATTTTGCACAGAGCATTCTGGCTTTCTTGATGAGACTAGGCAGCAAAGACTGAAGTCGCAAGATTTTAGTGAGCCTTAAAAGGAACTTCTAATTTTAATGCTGTCACTGTGGTGAGGGTGTCCTAAAAAGCTTAAGACATACTTTGTTCAAATTCCAGCGCCACAGTTTACTGCTCTGGTGACCTTGGGAGAGGCAGTGAGCTTCTCTGAGACTCAGCTTGTGAAGATCAAGGAAAATATAAAATATAACCAGTGTATAATGGATGTTAGGTACCTTCTAAAAGTGAATTACGTTTATTTACAGTAAATATTGTGGATGCCTGTTTTCTCTTAAAAGATTTGCCTAGTGACCTTGAGTATAATTTCATTGAAATTCCTATTTTCTCTTATTCATTTAAATATAATGTATGTGATGGCTATCCTTACTGGTAGGAAGTGTAAAAAAGACATAATAAAACAGTTAATTGAATGTGGTAGCAGGCATTTGTAGGCCTCCCATAATGCTTTTAACTCTCAAGCATTATGCTTACATTTTACTTTGAATAGGTAATAACACATGGTTCAACATTTAAAGGGGCTCAAAATGTAAACATGGAGAAAAGTCTCTTGTCCTTGTTCCCAAGTTACCTAATTCCTCTTCCTAATAACAATGTTAAATTTCTTGTATATTCTTCAGAGGTATGTAATACAGATGTAAACAAATCTTGTCTTTCTATAATACTCTGCCGTGTATCTGACTTTTCCCAGTTGGCAGTTTCTTACGAGTAAATAGAGTACACATCCTTTTTTTATGATTCCATAGTACTTTAATGTATGTACATGCTAGGATTTATTTAGCTCTAATGGTAGATATTTAAGTAGTTTACAATGTTGATGTTTTCTCGAAAATGGGTAACATGTGCCATTTTAGTTGGGTTTTGATGTATTCTCATTGTAAAGGACTCTAGGTATTTTGCAGTGCTTCCTGTCGTTTGTATTTTTTGTGTGTGCACTTAGTGATGATTAGAGAACATTCAGCACCCTAAATATTTTGATTGGGCAGTAAAGAATTTTCTACCAGAAGCAAAAGTATGCTGGTGACCTTTATGTGAATATATGTCTGCACACTTTGGTTTGAGTAGAGGAAGGTTTATCTCGTTATGAACACAAATTTAATGTTGGGAAAGAATAGCCTAGAGGACCCAGAATAACCGAGTGGTTCTTGTATTCTCAAGGGCAGAAGGGACAGACTTTGAGTGTTTACTTAGAAAATGTGAGCTTTCACTCTTTCTGAAATTATGGTTGTTGGTTGAGTGCACTCATATTGTACCATTAACTTGGGGAAAGCTAAAATTGTTTTAGGATGTAAACATGTAAAGCAGAAAGCCTTTTGAAATACCTCCAGAGCTATTTGTCTTAAACAGCATAGTTCATGGAACATTTAATTTTTCATTTAGGAGGTTTTGCTAATTGGGAAAAAAAAAAGGTTCTTTCCAGTGGAAGCATGCTTTTTGTTGTTAAGAAGTAACTTTTAGGAGCTGGCATTGTGGCTGCCTGCAATGCCAGCACCCCATATAATTTTCCACTTCCAATCCAGCTCCTTGCTATTGGCTGGGGAAAAGCAGTGAAAGATGGCCCAAGTGTTTGGGTCCCTGCCACCCATGTGGGAGATGAAGTTCCTGGCTCCTGGCTTCAGCCTGGCCCTGGCTGTTAGTGCCATCTGAGGAGAGAAGCAGTGGATGGAAGATATCTCTCTGTTGCTGTGCCTTTCAAATAAAGTAGATAAATAAGTAAATGTTAAGAAAAAAAGACCCAGTATCTTGGAGTTGGAAGTGATGTTTGGCTTCAAGGTCACTGGAAAAAATGTAAGATTTTTAGGTATCTGCATTCCTACCCATTAGCTGGTTGAGCTTTTGCAACTAATAAAAACAACATTTGTCTCCATGACAGCTACAGTGCAAAATATTACCTCATTTAATCATAGAAGCTCCAAGAGGTAGGTAGAGAGGAAAACTGAGACCTAGAGAAGCTATGTAACTAAAAACGGAACTGCCGTAACAGCCGGCAATCCTACTTACCTAAAGATTGAATATCAGATTTATTTATTTATTTCAAAGGCAGAGTTACGGAGAGGCAGAGACAGAGAGGTCAGCCATCTGCTGGTTCACTCCCCAATTGGCCGCAACAGCCGGAGCTTCACCCATCTGAAGGCAGGAGGCTGGAGCATCTTCTGGGTCTCCCACATGAGTGCAGGGGCCCAAGGACTTGTGCCATCCTCCACTGCTATCCCAGGCCATAGCAGAGAGCTGGATCAGAAGTGGAGCAGCCGGGACTTGAACCTGTGCCCATACTGGATGCTGGCACTGCAGGCAGCGGCTTTACCTGCTGTGCCACAGTGCCAGCCCCAATATTAGCTCTTAGAAGAAAACTCTGTCATTTGTGACACATGGAGGAAGCTAAGCTGGAGGACATTTTGCTAACTGAAATAAGCCAAACATAGGACAGATACTGCATCATGGAAGCGTAGAGAAGAATGGTGGTTGTCAGGGCCTGGGAGTAGGGAGGGGAGGGGAGGTAATGGGAAGATACTGGTCAAAGGCTATCATGTTTCAGTTGGGAGGGAGGAATAAGTTTGAGATTTATTGTATTGCATATTGACTATTTTAATAATAGTGAGTTTTATATGGTTGAAAATTGCTGAGTAGGTCTTAAGTGGTCTCACCACATGAACAAGAATAAACGAAGTAATAGGTATGCATACATCAAAACATATACCATTTATATATATGTATAGATTTTATTAATTATGTCTTCAAGCTAGGAAAAAATAAAATATAAAACTTCCATTTTCCTTGCTACTGAACTAAGCTACCCACCATTTAATCTCTAAACATTGCATTCGTGGCTTTAAAATGGAGATGATATTGTACTTGCAAAATGAAGTAATGTATAATGTATGCAGAGTACCTTCTTTGTAAATCCTAACATAGGCAAAATCTTATCAAATAGGTAAAATGCAAGATAGCAGACTAGGGAGGGTTTTACTGCCTGTTGTATCCTGATTTCAAGTTACTCCTTATCTTGACCCAAATTTCTCAGGTACTGTGTTTTTTTTTTTTTTAATGACTTTTTAAGCATTAAATTGTCAAATTTTTATTTGAAAGACAGAAATACAGACAGGTATCTCCATCTGTTGGTTCACTCCCCAAATGCCAGCAATAGCCAGGGCTGGGCTAAACTGAAGCCAGGAGCTTGGAACTCAGTCCTGGTCTCCAACGTGGGTGGTAGGGAACCAATTGCTTGAGCCATTGCCATGGCGGCGGCGCAAGCTGCCCATTAGCAGCTGGTAAGCAGAGCTGGACCCAAGCTCAGGCACTCTCATACGGCATGCCAAACGTCTGTCCCTTACTTTTTTTGCTTCATCAGCCGTGGCCTGTGCTTGGGTAAAGTGATGGAATGAGCTCAGGATGAGCTGCATGGTTAGCCCTGGTTTCTGACCTCAGCACTTTAGTTCATACATGCTCTGAGTGGGTTCCTCCTGTACTTGGAGATGAAAACAATCAGTAGTCCTGATGGAACAAGGACATAAGGCCCAGCCATTCTCCCTCTGCCCAAAAGAGAGAAACTTTGGAATGTATTCCTTGCCCTTGAACTCAATTGGGTCTCACACCCTATTGCCTTCATACCCCACCCTGCATTCTTTTCCAGGTTCCCAAGGCCTCGCCCAGTTCCTGGAATTCCCCTGCCTGCTGCCCCCTACCTCCACCCCAGCCCTAAGCCCTCCTTAAAAAGGCCGGGCCCCCTGGAGTCTTCTGCCTTGTGCTCCATTGTGTACACGCAGGCAGTTGGTCACCCACCTCTGCGGATTTATTTCCTCTGAATAAATTCGGTCTGGCTATAAATTCATACACTGCCTCCTCTCTATTCTGTGACTCTTTTCCTAACATCTTGGTGCCCCATGTGAGGAGGCTCTAATCTGCAACTCTTTTTCCTAACAAGTCCTAGCTTAAACAACTGTTAGTGGGTGGGAATTAAGAAAACTTGGAGTCTGTTCTGAGAACTGTGCCCTGTAGAACTATTTCTAAAGAGAAACTAGGCCAAATGATTAGCCTAGCATTTTCCTCCCATATACAAAGTTCTGTATGGTTTTCCTTTTGTTTTAGGTTCAAGATGAAGTCCACTGAGGAAGGAAAGTGTGGTCTTCCGAGTTCTGTGTGCCGGTGCAGAAGTGGCCTGCGAAGGCCTCCATGACGTCTGCAGACACTATGCATCACCTGTGCTTGGATGTGGACATTGCTAAGAGGAAAGGCTAATGGCTGATGGGCTGTAAGGCAGGTATGTGAATTTTTGAACAAGATATGCTTCCTTAGGGTTTCTGCATTATATCTATGTGTCTTTTTTGTCTAAAAGGTCAGATGTTCTTTGAATGGTCATTGTATCTCATAATGCCAGGCACAGGGTAAATTGGAATGGAAGTGATGAAAATTGAGTTGTTATACAATATTTAAAAAGAGATGTATTTGTTTATTTGAAAGGTGGAGTCTTCCATCTGCTGGTTCACTCCCCAGATGGCTGCAATGGCTAGGCCGATCCAAAGCCAGGAGCTTCTTCTGGGTCTCCCACGTGGGCGCAGGGGCCCAAGAACTTGGGCCATCTTATACTGCTTTCCCAGGCCATAGCAGAGAGCGAGATCAGAAGTGGAGCAGCCAGATCTTGGACTGGCACGTATATGGGATGCTGGGGCTTTAGGCCAGGGCATTAACCCACTGCGCCACAGCACCAGCACCCAGTCATACAATCTTAAAATGGAAGTATCTGATTTAGTATTAAAAATTTGTACTTTGTATCAGACTTTCATGAAATAGCTGTTCGTACGTACAGAGTATACCTTTTGGCCACGAACATCAGTGCTTTGAAGTACTTAGTGCTCACAGTTAACAAAATGAATGGGTCATTGATAGATTATGGGGTATTCACAAATACTTAGTGAATATGAAACAGCCTTGAGTGTACACTGATACTTGCTGAAGTGTGCCTGTAATCCTGCTGAGAGCTTCACACACTGGGAAAGGCCTCACATATTTAAGATTAGAACTTCAGTGCTAGGCTTTGTGCTATGTGCTGAGCACACAAAGACCAGGCCCTTTGCATTCTGGGTTTTGTTAGTGAGGTGAGATAAATTGAGAAGATATCCCTTGAGCTAGACATTGTGAAAACTGCAGGAACCTGACACCATGTCTTGCCCCTGTCTGTGTTCCTTGAGTTAATTTTGCATGCCCCAGATCTGAAAACATTTTGTAAGTTAAAGTGTTATTCCAGAATAGGACAAGGAAGGAGTACAATAATAACACTTTGAGTTACTTAAATCACTTCAGTTTTGCCCCTTTTGCCTGTGGTGTGACTCTGTTCAGTGAAATTCAAGATGTTGATGTACATAAGGTCTGGTGCTTGAAAGAACTTGTGAAACTTTTCTTTTTTGTAATTTTAAAATTTCCTATTAGATTTATTTTTTATTTATTTGAAAGACAGTTACAGAGAGGGGAGAGAGAGAGAGAGGTCTTCCATCTGCTGGTTCACTCCCCAATTGGCCGCAATGACCAGAGCTGCGCCCATCCAAAGCCAGGAGCCAGGAGCCTCCTCCAGGTCTCCCACGCAGGTGCAGGGACCCAAGGACTTGGGCCATCTTCTACTGCTTTCCCAGGCCACAGCAGAGAGCTGGCTGCGCATCTGGGATGCTGTTGCCTCGGGCCAGGGCGTTAACCTGCAGCACCACAGCCCCAGCCCTGAAACTTCAGATAGATAACAGGAGTGTGAGAAAGGTGATGTGTACAGTTCTGCTTTCTTTGTCCCTCTCATGGTGACAGCAAGGGTGAATTTTGACATGGTCCCAGTTACCTACAAAAATGTATATTTAGGAATTTTTTTTTGTCCCTGCCTTGTAGATGAGTTGACCCGACAGAATTTTCATAGAATTCAATTCCATTATTTAAAATAGTTTTTCTATCAAGCAGCCCTAGTATGACAGTTAACAAGTCCTTGATCTTGATTCAAATACTCTACAAAGATGAATAAACCTTCAAGGAGGTCACATTTAGCACTCGTTAACAACTGGCCCAGCCGGTGCCTCAGCTCAATAGGCTAATCCTGGCCGGCGCCGCGGCTCAGTAGGCTAATCCTCCGCCTTGCGGCGCTGGCACACCGGGTTCTAGTCCCAGTCAGGGCGCCGAATTCTGTCCCGGTTGCCCCTCTTCCAGGCCAGCTCTCTGCTGTGGCCAGGGAGTGCAGTGGAGGGATGGCGCAAGTCCATTGGGCCCTGCGACCCCCATGGGAGACCAAGGATAAAGTACCTGGCTCTCTGCCATTTGGATCAAGCACGGTGCGCCTGCCGCGGCGGCCATTGGAGGGTGAACCAACAGCAAAAGGAAGGCCTTTCTCTCTGTCTCTCTCTCTCGCTGTCCACTCTGCCTGTCAAAAAAAAAAAAAAAAAAAAAAATAGGCTAATCCTCCGCCTGCGGCGCCGGCACACCAGGTTCTAGTCCTGGTCCGGGTGCCAGATTCTGTCCCGGTTGCCCCTCTTCCAGGCCAGCTCTCTGCTGTGGCCTGGGAGTGCAGTGGAGGGTGGCCCAAGTGCTTGGGCCCTGCACCCCATGGGAAACCAGGATAAGCACCTGGCTTCTGCCGGATCGTGCGGTGTGCCGGCCGCGGCGGTCACTGGAGGGCGAACCAACTGAAAAGGAAGACCTTTCTCTCTGTCTCTCTTACTGTCCACTCTGCCTGTCAAAAACAAACAAAACAAAACAAACCTGGCCTGGTGAGCTTAAAACTACCTGAGGAAAACTTTGAGGCTGGTGCTATGGCGTGGCGGGTAAAGGCATGGCAAAGGTTTACTTATTTATTTGAGAGGCAGAGTTACAGAGAGAAGGAGAGACAGAAAGATCTTTATCTTTCATTTACTGGTTAACTCCCCAGATGGCCACAACAGCCAGGACTGGGCCAAGTCAAAGCCAGGAGCTTGCCTGGAAGTCCATCTGGGTCCCCCACATAGATGGAGGGCCCGAGGACTGATTCAAGTTCAGTTGCTTCACTTCCGATCCAACTCTGTGCTAATGCACCTGGGAAAGCAGTGGAAGATGGCCCAAGTGCTTGGGCCCCTGCACAAATGTGAGAGACCAGAAAGAAGCTTCTGGCTCCTGGGGAATGAACCAGTGGATGGAAGACCTCTTCTCTGTCTCTCCTTGCTGCAGGCAGTGGCTTAACCTACTATGCCATAGGGCTGTCCCTGAGAATTCTGCTCTTAATTAGGTGGCCAGCCATTTATGGTGAGGGATTACTTATTGGGATGCAACTTTAAGGTGCCAAGAATAGAGAATAGTTTGATGATTTCCTGTGGCAGTGACTGCATGTTCAGTCTACTTAATCTGAAATTTCAGGTTATCCTCAGGTTCTGAAGAGGAAGTTAAAAGCTCTTACATTGCCATCTTGTGGTAGATTTGGGTTCCAAGTGATGCTTTTTTTTTTTTTTAAGATTTATTTTATTTATTGAAAAGACAGTTATATAGAGAGGTGGAGACAGAGAGAGAGGTCTTCCATCCTCTGGTTCACTCCCCAGATGGCCACAGTGGCCGGAGCTGCGCCAATCCAGGCGCAAGGAGCTTCTTCCGGGTCTCCCACGTGGGTGCAGGGACCCAAGGACTTGGGCCATCTTCTACTGCTATCCCAGGCCATAGCAGAGAGCTGGATTGGAAGAGGAGCAGCCGAGACTAGAACCGGTGCCCGTATGGGATGCCGGTGCTGCAGGCCAGGGCTTTAACCCGCTACACCACTGTGCCAAGTGATGCTATCTTCAGTATATTGCGACCAAAGAGACCAAGAGTAAAGGTCAAATCCATCTGGCATTGACTCAAATGAACTGAAAATATGCTTTGGAAAAATTGATTGTTTTATATTAGCTTTTATTATCAGAATCTTATGGATTTTTGACTCTTTCCTTTTGCATATTATGTCTTATTATGAGACTATAGACTTTTACAGCCCTTCAGAAGTTGGTTAGATTAGTGTGCAACTTAGCCAAACTTTAAATTTGTACAAAGTTGACCTTGCATAGAAGTCCTGCCCTAATTTGATAATTTAGCTTGGGCATTTGATTATATTCTCCAGATAATTTATTACTGAATAATTTATTTCTGAATGGAGATTCAAATAAAGAATGAACAATACTCTGATTTTTTTCTTGTGACTTTATATGAAGAATGCTGGTGTGAGTTGGAGTATAATCCTGACCATTGTGTATTTATTTATTCTTTTATTTTCCAGAGATGTTACTAGGTAGCCGATCAATCTTGTAGTTTGCCTTGATCCCTAAATAGAAGCTGGATTTATCTGAAACCAGAGGTAAGTATAAAAGAAAAATCTTTTACTTTGCAAGATTTCAGTGGCTGAAATCTGGTAGCTGTTCTAACCTGCAGAGAGTTTTCCAGGCTTAGGGATGAGGAGCCAGTGATGGTTTGCCCTTCACCAGTCATGTACAGTTTGCCATGATGAAATGCATGTTAAGTCCGTGTTTCAGCTGATGACCCTGATTAAACGCATGCACTGAGCAGACTAAAGCTAGGGGCAAACACTTGGAGTTCTTACTGGGATTTAGCCCCTTAATCTTAGATAATTCTTATATCTTTAAATTATGAATCTTATGCTACTGCCAACATTTTGTTATGCTTCAAACTTTGGTGACATATCTTTGAGATAGAACTAGGGTCAAGAATCTAAAAATTCAGACACTACAGAAAAAACACTGGTAACTGGTCTAATTGTATCAGGTGCTTAGCTTGGCAGTTTTAAAGTAATTACCAACCAGTTTATTGATCTATATAACATTAGGAGAATTCCAGAGTTGGTTAAATCAGTTTTATGAAGACATATAGTGTAACATTATATCCTCACTTAAAAGTTATGATATAGGTTTGTGTTTCTTGAAATGGAAGAGTGGTCATAAAGATTTACTTTATTTTACTTGAAAGTCGCAGTTACACAGAGAGAGGAGAGGCAGAGAGAGAGAGAGAGAGGTCTTCCATCTGCTGGTTCACTCCCCAGATGGCCATAACGGCTGGAGCTGCAGCGATCTGAAGCCAGGAGCCAGGAGCTTCTTCCAGGTCTCCCACGTGGGTGCAGGGGCCCAAGGACTTGGGCCATCTTCTACTGCTTTCCCAGGCCATAGCAGAGAGCTGGATTGGAAGAGGAACAGCTGGGTCTCAAACTGGCACCCGTATGGGATGCCGCCACAGCACTGGCCCCTAAACTTGTTTTTAAGAGAGATCTTCAGTCCTTCACTCCCAACATGCCTACCACAGCCAGTGTAGGTTAGGCTGAAACCAGGATCCTGGAATTTTACTTGGGTCTCAAGTGGGTGGCAGGAACCAGAGTACTTAGGCCATTGTCCACTGTCTTTCCCGGCATGTTAGCTGGAAGGATTGGAAGTAGACTAGCTGGGGACTTGAAATGACAATCTAATATGGGATGCAGGTATCCTTGGTGGTGGCTTAACCTGTTGTGCCACAATGCCTGGCCTTCCTGCCTAAACATTTTTATATGTTCACTTTAAGAAACACACACACATACATACATACATACACATACACGTACATTTGTTCAAATATTAGGGGTTATTTTTAGAATTGGTTTCTATGTGCGATCTTGTTACTTTTGTTAACATGTATTTTCTAATTTTACTACATTCATGTGTTACATAATTAAAAAGTTATTTTAAACACCTTAGACAGCCTTGTCTTCCTCACCTGGGCCTGCCTTTTCAGCAGAGAATGAAGAAGTTGTGAGGGTAAAAATATAGGAAGCAAAAATAATTCAAAGTAATATCAGCACTTGAAATGATTTTTTAGTGTTTGGTTGTCTTTTGTAGAAGTGAAATTTCAAGACATCAAAACCAGATATGCATCTTACTTTACCAGTCTGGACCTCTTCAGTGCCCGGATGTATAATAGGTGATGACTGCACTTTGCTTTCATGGTAAGGCTTATGTTGAGATTGAGAAGCCGTGACATACATATGAATCTTTGAAATTTTAGCTTTGTGACATGATGACTAAGGTGCTAGCAATTTGGTTTTTTAAAAAGTCAATTAATGATGTTGAGAGATAGCAGAGAATAGTAATTACACACAGGGTATGGAATTAAATTTGGTTCAATCAACGTATCTGCTACTTAACAGTTCTATAACCTTGGCAAGTTTCCTAACATCTCAGTGTCTTAGTTTCTTTATGTTTGAGTGATAAAGAGTACCTGACTCAAAGTTTGGCTACTTTGAGATTTAATTAGATAAATGTGTGGGGCATAGCAATATGTAAATCAAATGGTAAATGCTTAATAGATATTAGCTATTTTATTATCTGAGTCCATATGTATACATATCTTAGACTTTGTACTGTCAGTTTCTGATGTCTGCATAATTGTTTGTCAGAAATTCTTCATTCTCATTGCTTCTGTGTCTTTTTCTGATTGACCTATTCCTCAGTACTTTGGCACCCCTGAGTCTAATTTAGTTCTAGAATTAGATATAATATGGTAACAGGGTTATCATGTGTATCCTCATATAATTGTTCCAATTTGTTGATGGATCTTGGTTTTTGCACTAATTTATTTGTAATTATTTTGTTTAGCTGGATCAGTTGATCCTTAATGGTCTCTTCTCGTTCTTACTTAGATATAATGATGCTCTTGATTTCTTAATTTTTTTATGTTTCTTAAAATAATGTGGCTGGAGTAAAAACTTTGATGGCTGTTCCTCTCACTGCTTCAAGCCTTGAGCAGTGGGGTTTTAGTCCATCATATAGCAAAGCTGGCTTGTCTTCACTCAGGGCACCATGGGATGGGTTGGCTGTCCATTAGTGCCGTCTGATTTTTGCGGAGTCAAACAATTACAAAGCAAGTAGTGATTCTAGATTAAGAAATGTACTTATTAAAAAAATAATTTCAAAACATGGGGATATAGTTTATAGAGTACTCTCTGTGATAGTATTTGGGTAGTGCTTATCTAGGGCTATGATAAAGAGCTGTAGGTGATTCTGGAAGTTGCAAAAAACATTATACTCTGAAATAATTCATTTTTAAATTTTAAGTGGTTTACTCAGTTTTCTAGAGTGGCTTACACACATTTCAGGGCAATTTAAAAAATACCTGTTCCTTTGCAGCATGAAGGTAGATGATACTTCAAATTAAAGATTGAAGCTGACTTCTCACAAGAAATGGATTTATAGAATGATCTTGGAAACATATAAGAAGTGACTGAAAAAAGTGTAAAATATTTTCTTCCACCGTTCCTGAATCTTTTGCTGGATTGTAAGCTCCATGAAGGCACATACCTTCCCTTTTTCTGATGTCTAGCCCAGAGTAGATACTCAACATATTTGAGGTAAATTGAATTGAAATCTTATTGATTTAATTATTCATTTTAAAAGATTTATTTATTTGAAAGAGTTACACACAGAGAGAAGGAGAGGCAGAGAGAGAGAGAGAGAGAGGTCTTCCATCTGCTGGTTCACTCCCCAGTTGGCTGCAATGGCTAGAGCTGTGCTGATCCGAAGCCAGCAGCCTCTTCTGGGTCTCCCACGCAGGTAAAGGGGCCCCAAGGATTTGGGCCATCTTGAACTGCTTTCCCAGGCCATAGCAGAGAACTGGATTGGAAGTGGAGCAGTGGAGACTCGAACCGGCGCCCATGTGGAATGCTGACACTGCTGGCAGTGACTTTACCCTTTACCCCACAGCGCTGGCCCCCACTGACTACCCATGTGTTTACATAAAATTTCTATTATCTGATTATGATGCCTGACCCTTTAAGAGACAATGAAGAATAATTGCCAAAAACAATCTAAATATGTGAGGAACAGATACATAAAAGATTATTGGTAGAGCTGGCATTGTGCAGCTAGTTAAGCCTCTGTCTGTGACACTGGCATCTCAGCTGCTCTGCTTCTGATCCAGCTTCCTGCTGATGTGCTTGAGAAGGCAGCAGCAGATGACTCCTGCTACTCACTTTAGAGATCAGGATAGAATTGTTGGCTCTTGGCTTTGGCCTGGCCTAGGCCTGGCTGTTGTGGCCATTTGGGGAATGAACCAGTGGATGGAAAGATTTCTTTCTCTGTTTCTATCTTTGAAATAGATAAGTGAATAGATCTTTTAAAAAAGAAAAGTGTACTGATATTTCCACAATGGCTGAGACTGGGCAAGGCCAGAGTGGGCAACTCAGCCCAGGTCTCCCTCATGGCTGGCAAGCACTAAACTGGAGTTGTTTTCTGTTGCCTCCCAGGTCCACATTAGCAGGCTGCTGGATTTGCGATGGAGCCAGGACCTGAACCCAGGCACTCTGAAATGGGATGTGGGTGTCCCAAGCAGTTTTATGCTGACCCAGCCCATCAGCTTAATTTTTAAGCTAGTTTCTAACAGGCCTTTATGGATTAAGAGGAACGCTGCGGAGTTACTATACTATAGGTAACACAGTAAAACAGGTACAAACATTTCAACAGTATCAGCAATTCCAGTATCCAGGGAGCTACTTCAGTGACATCCAATCCTATCGCTTAATTTCAAGCGCCCTTAGGAATGTTTGTAATGCTAGCTCAGGGAAAGTTGGAATTTCTATAAATGTATGTTGAGGATGCGTAAAGGGTGGGACGATGAATAAAAAGGACAGGACAGGGTGTACTTCAGCATGGTGGTGACTGTTGTCCAATTACAGGAGTCACAATTCCCGAGCGTCTTCCCCGATACTGAGAAAGTCTGTGCTGAGCGGGCGGGGCGGGGCACACCTCCCGGACTCCCTAGGACAGGCGCCTTGCTGCACCCAGGGGCGGCCCTGCTTCCTTGTCAGCCACGCGGTTCCGCCCTCGCCAAAAAAGATACTTCCATAGAGGGGTGTAATTCTTGTGGCATTTAAAGGGAGTTAACAGAGCTCCAAGAAACCAGCTCTCTCGCCGGGGCCACTGGCTGGCTTTCCCAAGAGCCTCAGCAGCCGAGTCCCGCCTCTGCTACCCGTCAGGCCACTGGGCGGCCCCGCGCATGCGCTCTATGAGGAAGTGGCGTGACGTGCCGAACCCTCACTGGAGTGGCGGAGGCAACGGCATTTTCCCGCGCTTTTTTGCTTCTCAGGTTAAGTATTCAGATTAAGTATTTTATTTGTGTTTTTGTTATCACCCTTTTCTCTGTCCAGAATGGAAGACAGGCCAAAAATTCTAGAGTTAGATTTCTGTGAGTCTGTTTCTAAAACTTGCCACCGGGGCAGCTAAATCGACTCTCCCGTCTTGTGTGAAGTTTGGAACTGGTTATACCTTTGCCTGAGAAGCGCTTCAGCTTCCAAACTGTAGCTCTTCTGCTTTCCGAAGCCTGTTACCCACCGCAGTAAAGTAGACCTCTGAATTTCGGCTGCCAGGTGCCGTTTGTCTGTGGAGACTGCGTGCCCTGCCAAGCCCTGGGACCGAGGCAGTGTTCTGGACAGACTCAGTGTGAGCAGTTTGCCTGGCTATGTAGTTGGTGCGGGCCTGTGTTTCAGAATAGTGCTGCCCATTTTTTTGTCATTACAACTCCAGCAAAATTGGATGCTATATGAAAAAGTTACAAACTTTTAGGTTTTAATTTTACAAATGTTTTAAATAGCACCATAGCTTTGAAGAATTATGTTACATTTACTTTAACAAATTGTTTGATAAATCTACATTAAAGTTTTTATGCAGATTTCTAAGTTTCATGGTAACTTGGATGAATTAGGTTGCTTTCCAAAATATGCTAGCAGGTTGCTCCTGTTTCAAGACAAAATGGGTTAAGAACCTAGAAAACAGCATAAATGAAAAAAATTTAAAAATTTGAAATGCTTTGCATGAAAAAATAGCTGAAATCACTACCTGGACTTTGTTTGCCAAGTGTGAGATGTGGCACTAAAATACTCAAGCAAAGAATGAATGGCTAATAAAATTTGGAATTTTGTTATTAAAGAATGAAAAAAGCACTTAATTTAATTTTTACTTGTTTGTGCTTTGTGAATGTTCCCAGACATTTTTCCCATGTGCGTATTATCTTTGACCTTAATAAGGTTTGGAACCACCTGCATCTTTAACTTTTTATTTAAATTTTTTTTTCATGGCCTCTGTTCAAAGAAAGTGTGCAATTAATGTTGAGAAATTGAAATCAGTATAATGGGTTGATTATAATAAAAACATAATATGTGTTTTACTGTAAAAATGAAAATGTGCACATTTTATGTTATGCAATTTTCATAGGAATTTGACCTTTTCATCATTTATCCCTTATGATTCTTTTCAGCTTCTGAAGAAATCACTATCCTATTATGTCCTTGTGTGAAGATATGCTGCTTTGTAATTACCGAAAGTGTCGCATCAAACTCTCTGGTTACGCGTGGGTCACTGCCTGCTCTCATATCTTCTGTGACCAGCATGGCAGCGGTGAATTCAGCCGTTCACCAGCGATCTGCCCTGCCTGTAACAGTACCCTTTCTGGAAAGCTAGATATTGTCCGCACAGAGCTCAGTCCATCAGAGGAGTATAAAGCTATGGTGTTGGCAGGACTGCGACCAGAGATTGTGTTGGACATTAGTTCCCGAGCACTGGCCTTCTGGACATATCAGGTTAGTGCTTGACCTAGTTTCTCTCTCTCTCTTTTTTTTTTTTAAAGATTTTATTTATTTATTTGAGAGGTAGAGTTACAGTGAGAGGGAGAGACAGAGAGAGAGGTCTTTCTTCTGTTGGTTCACTCCCCAGATGGCCGCAATGGCCAGAGTTTCGCCGATCTGAAGCCAGGAGCCAGGAGCTTCTTCCGGGTCTCCCATGTGGGTTTAGCGGCCCAAGGTCTTGGGCCATCTTCTACTGCTTCCCCAGGTCATAGCAGAGAGCTGGATCAGAAGTGGAGTAGCTGGGACTCGAACTGGCGCCCATAGTGCTTTCACTTGATCTTAGTCAAAGGGCCAAGAAGCGATACACATAGTGCTTTCTAGTCAGTTAAAGTTGACAAAGTCTATTACTTTTTTTTTTTTAATTACCTTTTTACTAATTTAAAAGCAGAGCAACAGAGAGGGAGAAGCAGAAAGAGATCTTCCATCCTCTGATTCACTCTCAATTGCCAAAGTAGCCAAGTCTGGACCCCAGGAACTCCAGCCTGATCTCCCATGTGGTTGACAGGGAACCAAGTACTTGGACCATCTTCCAGTGCCTTCCCAGGCACATTAGCAGGAAGCTGAACTGGAAGAAGAGGAGGCAGGATTTGAACTGGTACTCTGACATGGCATGCCAGTGTTGCTAGCAGTGGCTTAATCTACTATACCACCATACCAACCCTGTTAAGAATATTTATTAGTATTTTTTAGGTAACTTTTTTTTTGACAGGCAGAGTGGATAGTGAGAGAGAGAGAGAGAAAGGTCTTCCTTTTGCCGTTGGTTCACCCTCCAGTGACTACCACAGCTGGCACGCTGCGGCCGGCGCACCGCGCTGATCCGAAGGCAGGAGCCAGGTGCTTCTCCTGGTCTCCCATGGGGTGCAGGGCCCAAGCACTTGGGCCATCCTCCACTGCCTTCCCCAGGCCACAGCAGAGAGCTGGCCTGGAAGAGGGGTAACTGGGACAGAATCCGGCGCCCCGACTGGGACTAGAACCCGGTGTGCCGGCGCCGCTAGGCAGAGGATTAGCCTATTGAGCCGCGGCGCCGGCCTAACTTCTTTTTTTTAAAAGATTTGTTTATTTGAGAGGTAGAGCTACAGACAGAGAGGGAGAGACAGAAAGGTCTTCGATCTAATTTACTCCCAAAATGGCCACAACTGCTGGACCTGCGCTGATCAGGAGCCAGGAGCTTCTTTTGGGTCTCCCACATGGGTTCGGGAACCCAAGCACTTGGGCCATTTTCCACTGCTTTCCCAGGCTGTAGCAGAGAGCTGGATCAGAAGTGGAGCAGCTAGTACACAAACTGGTACCCACTGGGGATGCTGGCACAGCAGGCGGAGGCTTAGCCTACTATGCCACCACACTGGCCCCTTCAGTTAACTATTCTATAATGATAATTTTAAGGGCTGCATTATGCCATAATTTGTTTCTAAGTTATTAAAACAGTGCTGTTATGTGCGTTCTTAAAGATTTATTTTTTTGTTTTGTTTTGAAAGGCAGAGTTTATGTTTATATTCACTCCCCCAAAGGAAGGAACAGCTAGGGTTGTGCCAGGCTGAAGCCAGGAGTCAGGAGTTAGGAGTTGGAACTCTATCTGTGTCTTACATGTGGCTGTAAGGGCTAGATACTTGGGCCATCTCTTGCTGCCTTCCCAGAACTGGTGCTCTGATATAGGTTATAGGCTTTGGTAGTTTAACCCCCTGTGCCACAAGCCAGCCCTGGTAATGTACTCTTGAAGCAACAGCCTATCACCTGTGCTGTGTTCTAGTCCTAGGTCGTGCCCAGACTCAAGGGGAGAGAGTTACACATGGGATAAGTAATAGGAGGCAGGCATAATTTGGGATTGTTTTAGAGTGTTCTTCATGCCCTGGATTATTTGAAAAATGGTATTACGTTTCTTAAAAGCCTTTGGAATTCACGCCACTTGTTAAAAAGTAATACAGATAATTTGTTTTAGTGGTATAATGGTAGCAGTTTGAGAGTATTCCTCCACATTTCTTTTCTATGCATTCAGTGACATTAATTTACAATCAACTCATTGTATATCCTGGTTATTTCTTAATCTGGTTCTAAGTGTTAAAGTGATAACATCCCTATTTAAGCATCTTTTTTCCTTTTGTGTGACATTTTACAGTATAGAAATTTTTACTCATTATCTTAAAAATCTTTTGTTTTGGGAAAGGTACATCAGGAGCGCCTCTATCAAGAATATAATTTCAGCAAGGCTGAGGGCCATCTGAAACAGATGGAGAAGATTTACACCCAGCAAATACAGAGCAAGGATGTAGAATTGACCTCTATGAAAGGGGAGGTCACCTCCATGAAGAAAGTGCTAGAAGAATACAAGAAAAAGTTCAGTGATATCTCAGAGAAACTTATGGAGCGCAATCGCCAGTATCAGAAGCTCCAGGGCCTCTATGATAGCCTCAGGCTACGAAACATCACCATTGCTAACCAAGAAGGCACCCTTGAGCCATCTTTAATTGCACAGTCTGGTATTTTTGGCTTCCCATTAGGTAAGAAAGGGCATGTGATTTCCAACATCTATTCCTTATTTTTTTAACCAGTTTTTCTTTTGTTTGTTTAAATATTTATTTTATTTACTTGAAAGAGTTACAGAGAGAGGTAGAGAGAGAGAGAGAGACAAAGAGACAGAGAGAGGTCTTCTATCCGCTGGTTCATTCCCTACATGGTTGCAATGGCCAGAGCTGAGCCGATTTGGTTCACTCCCCAAATGGCTGCTATAGCCAGATCTGGGCCGATCTGAAGCCAGGAGCCAAGAGCTTCTTCCTGGTCTCCCACATGGGTACAGGGTACCAAGACTTGGACTATCTTTTGCTGCTTTCCCAGGCACATTAGCAGGGAGCTAGTTTGGAAGTGGATCAGCTGGTACTTGAACTAGTGCCTATATAGGATGCTGGCACTGCTCTAGTAGCTGCTGCTTTAAATATTTATTTTCACTAACTGAAAGAGACAGAATGAACCAGCTAGCCAACCAGCCAGTCAGCAAAAGAGATTGCTGGTTCACTTCCAAACGGCCTGCAACAGGCTGGCTCGGGACAAAGCCAGAAACCTGGAACTCCACCTGGCTTTCCCATGTGGGTGTCAGGGACCCAAGTAATTGAGCCATTGTCTGCTTCCCAGGGTGTGCATGAGCAAGAAGCTGGATTGGAAGTGGAATAGCCAGGCACTTCAATATGGGATGTATGCACCTCAAGGAATGTCCTAACTGCTGTACCCAATGCTCATGTCACTATCTACCCTTTAAAGCAGTGATATTTCATTGTGCTTTGCGTAGTTCCGAGTAGTCACTGGGAGTTCCAAGGGCCTAGGGTTGTGGTAGGCCATAAATTCTTCATCGGTGTCTCAACCCGTACATTATTGCTTTTATCTATTGTATTTGCTTACATTTCAATTAAATATTTAATTTTTTAAATTTATTTTATTTTATTTATTTGAAAGACAGAGTTACAGAGAGAGGTAGAGACAGAGAGAGAGGTCTTCCATCCACTGGTTCACTCCCCAGATGGCTGCAACGGCCGGAGCTGCGCCGATCCGAACCAGAAGCCAGGAACTTCTTCCGGGTCTCACACAGGGGTGCAGGGGCCCGAGGACTTGGGCCATCTTCTACTGCTTTCCCAGGCCATAGCAGAGAGCTAGATCGGAAGTGGAGCATCCGGGACTAGAACCAGCGCCCATATGGGATTCCAGCGCTTCAGGCCAGGGCTTTAACCTGCTGCGCCATAGTGCCGGCCCTAGAGCTTACCTTTTTTAACCATTTACTATTCAAGAAAGCCATATTTTGTTTTCTTTCATATGCCAATACCGATTGCACAGTTTTGATAACTTCAGAAATGTTGGTTGATGTTAGTTGCTTGGTTTGTTCTTTTGTTTATTTGTTTGTCTATCAGATTATTAAAAATATTATGTACCAGGCTGTTAGGCATGATCTCAAGCAATTTAGATTTAAAGATTATCCAGATACAATTGAGATTTATTTATTTATTTGAAAGTCAGAGTTACACAGAAACAAGGAGAGACAGAGAGAGAGGTCTATCCATTCACTGGTTCACTCTCCATTGGCTGCAATGGCTGGAGCTGCTCCAATCTGAAGCCAGGAGCCAGGAGCCAGGAGCTTCTTCGGGTCTCCTACATGGGTGCAGGGGCCCAAGGACTTGGGCCATCTTCCACTGCTATCCCAGGCCATAGCAGAGAGCTGGTTCGGAAGAGGAGCAGCCAGGACTAGAACTGGTGCCCATATGGGATGCCGGCACTGCAGACGGCAGCTTTACCCACTACACCACAGTGCCGGCCCTTTATAGAGGTAAAGGTGTATGGTTCAGTCACATCTCATATCAGAGTGCCTTAGTTCAAGTCCCAGTCTTCTGGTTCTGATCCAGCTTCCTGCTAATGTGTACCCTGGGAGGCGGCAGACAATGGCACAAGTACTTGGGCCCCTCACACCCATGTGGAAGACCATGGCTGAATTCCAAGCTCCTGGCCTTAACTGGACCTGGCTTGGCTACTGGGACATTGGGGAGTAAACCACCAGATGGAAACTGTTTTTGTTTCCATATCTATCTCTGTCTCTCTGCCTTTCAAATAAATGAAAAGAAATAATAACAATAAAAAACAATGTTTTGTGGAATTAAAAAGTAAGTTTATTTTAGTGCAAAAAGTTTTAAAATGCATGCATTTAAGAAGTTTTCAAAAGTTTATGCGAAGAGCATGCTAGATTTTGAAATTATTGGGCACCAAATTAAGTTTAACGTTTCAATCCATTTCCATGAATTAAGGGGATTGAAAGGAAAGCATCAGAGAGGGAGCCACACACACACACACACACACACACACACACACACACATATTCTATTTGCTGATTTACTCCCCAAATGGTTGCAATAGCCAGGTCTGGGCCAAGCTAAAGCCAGGAGCCAGGAACTCCATCCTGGTATCTCACATGGCTGATAGTGGCCCAGACACGAGCTGTCTGCTGCTGCCTTTCTAGGAGTTTTATCAGGAGGCTGGACCTGAAGCCAAGCAGCCAGGACTGGAGCTCCAATATGGAATACTGGCATTTCAGGTAGCAGCTTAACTGCACAATGCTGGCCCCTCCAGGAATACTGAAATATTCTTGTGTGCCTGCGTATATATAAAACAGATAATTCCTCTGAAGTAAATTATAAACGAATAGAATTATTTAATTTTTTAAAAATTTATTTATTTGAAAGTAGTCAGAATTACAGAGAGAAGGAGAGACAGAGAGAGATCTTCTATCTGTTGGCACATTAGCAGGGAGATGGATCAGCTGGGATTCATTCTGGTTCCCATAAGGGATGCCAGTGTCGCAGGCGGCAGGTTAACCTGCTATACCACAATGCTGGTCCTATATATATTTTTTTAGTCCTACTAAATATGTATTTCATTGTGTGAATGTATTTTGGTGATGAGGTCATGACTATCATTGGAAACCACAAAAGAAGGTACAATAGATGTTGTGGTCAGGTGGAGACGTGGGGGATAATCATGATTTTTTTCTTTATCTGTCTCATAGGAGTTGAGTTCTGCTAAAATATATATTGAATGACTTTTCTTTATCTTCTTGAAGATTTGTGAGGAAGTAGATGCTAAAATTCTTTAGATGCTAAAATTCTTTCCTTTTTTTTTCTCCTTAGGGAACAGCTCCAAATTTCCTACGAACAATACACCACTTCGAAATCAGGGTGGTGGAGATGGAGATTTTCAGTTTAGACCATTCTTTGTGGGTTCTCCCACAGCACCTGAACCCAGCAACACCTTTTTTAATTTTGCCTCTCCAAGCCATGAGTTAGAGCAGCAGCAAATCTCTAGCAGGGCCTTCAAAGTAAAAAGAATTTAGATCTCTTCACTTTCAGTGATTTTGTTTAGCAAATTATCTTTATTCTAGACAAGGAGTCACTGATCTTCCTGTGCTGTTAAGTCTTTGAAGTTGTCTTTCCATTTTCAGTTTATGAGAAACTCAGTAACTGTGGGAAGTGGCTTTAGAGTGACTTTGTTTCTACTATTTGAAGTTTGAGGATTTTATTAATCTCAGTTTCTATGTGAACTGTTGAATTTTCATTGTTAGTGAAAAGACATGACATTATTGTGTGTTTTGTAGACCACTGTTATAGTACTGTGTGTTTATGAATGTAAGCACTTTTGTTATGTCTGTGTGTCACTCTGGATTCTGGCATTTTTGCATTTACAACTATGAATATGTAATAGTGTTCATTTACATTAATATTTTCCTGTGTTTACCAATGTATTTATGTGAAAATTTTGGTCTGGGAAAATAGTGGGTTATCTGCAGCTTGTTATTTATATATTTGCCCTCATATTAACTTGTTTGTATTCATGTCAATGAGTGCAATTTGATGCATTTATGTTCAGCCCCTATTTGCATTTAAAAATAACTCCCATTGATAATGTTAATCTATAAAGTTGATTTTTTGACATTTATTTTAAATAAAGCTATTTCTTTACTTTTATGTCAACTCTTGTCTTGGATTTACTCATTTAGACATGCACTTCTGCTACAGAAAATTTACCAATGTTTTTGATTTCAAGACTGTATTAATTTAAATAATTTAAAAGATATCCCTTGTTTCCATTTATTAAATAGCATTTCTGACTACTAGTATAGAAATTATATTTAATTGCTATCTTTAATTATTTAAGACATTGAGCTAAGAAAGAAACATGAAGGACACTCTTGGTAACTATATGTTGTTAAAGGTAATACTTGAAAGCATACTGGTTGAAGGGGCATAGTGTGGGTTCTAATGATGGTTTTTTTTTTGTATATATGATTGTGTGAGTTTGAGTTTCAACTTTGGGCCTTAGTTTCTGTATTTATGAAGTGAGTACACGAATTAAGTCATCCTTAATTTAATCTTAAATTTCAAGATTTATTTATTTGAAAGAGTTACACAGAGAAGGAGAGGCAGAGAGAGAGGTCTTCTATTTGCTGGTTCACACCCCAGATGGCCACAACGGAGCTGCGCCAATCCAAGGCCAGGAGCCAGGAGCTTTTTCTGGGTCTCCCACGTGGGTGCAGGGACCTAAGGACTTGGGCCAACTTATACTGCTTTCCCAGGCCATAACAGAGAGATAGATCAGAAGTGGAGCAGCCAAGACTCAAACCGGCCCCTATATGGGGTGCTGGCATTGTAGGTGGCAGCTTTATCTGCTATGCCATAGTGCTGGTCCCTCCTTTGCTTTTTAATAATAAAAGTCACACTGATGATCTAAGGATATTTTATATTTAATCATAGAAAGGCAAGTAAATAATTGTGCTTGACAGATTAGATGTATAGAGTATAAAATCTCAAAGTTAAAATGTCGTAGTTAATTAGGCAGATTTTCTAGATTTCAGTACCAAGTATTTCTCTTCCCTTTTCAGAATGATTTCAAGAAATGATTTTATGATTTTTATTCGTGATTTCTGCCTTGAACATTTTACTTTTTTGTTAGGTTTACAGAATCAGTTTGAAGTACAAGTGAGGTATAATTAAAACTAAAAATGTAGGGCTGGCCGTTGTGACGCTGAGGGTTAAGTGACCTCCTGAGACACTAGCATCCTATATGAGCACTGCTTCAAGTCCTGGCTGCTCCACTTCAGATTAGCTCCCTACTAATGCACCTTAAATGTGCCTGGGAAAGCACAGAGGATGACCTAAGTACTTGAACCTGCACTCATGTGGGAGACAGAGGGAGGTTCTGATTCCTGGATTTGGCTTGGCCTAGTCCTGGCTGTTGCAACCATTTGAGGATAGTAGATGAAAGATACCTATATAACTGCCTTTCAAGTAAATAAGTAAATCTTAAAAAAAAAAAAAAGTAAAAAGACATGCTGTAAGAATTTTAATGCTACTTTATTTATTAAAGAACTTTAATACATTTATATGGTACAAATTCGAAAGATACAAATAGGTGTAGAGTGGAAAGTCTCCCTTTTCTACCTTGTCCCAAGTTTTGGAAGTAGTTACTATTGCTAGCGTGTTGTGTCTCTTTCCAGAAATGGTCTATGCAGATGCAAATACTTTTTTTTTTAAAAATTTAGAAATTGTTTTTGTTTTTGAATAGGAAATCTATGTATGTGGTAAAGGTACATAGTGAGAAGAACTTTTTTCATTCACCCACAATTCTTATTGCTGTGTCCCTCTCCAGAGGCAATCATTTTTTCTTACATAGTTTCTGGATGTAGTTATGCACATATAAGAACTGTTACTACAATGGTTTTGATAATTCTATGCTAAGTGTAGGAAATTCATCTGGATAATGTGTTCAAAATGCTAAAATTACTCACAGAATATCACTGCAAAATTTG